TTATCAATATGATCATATATATATGTCCTTGAAAAGATTGTCTTTATGACACATATACCAACACTAACATGATGGTAGACTAAGATTGTAATATACCTTATCATCTTACTACACGCCCCTATTTGTAATATGATGGTAGACTAAGATGTTATTGCGAAACAATCTTCCCCCAATTTTCACTACAACTAAGTTGAATGAAAATCCATACCTTCACTTACACTTTTTCCCCTTTACCCAACACCATCATAGTTTCCCTATGTATTCCAGAATCTCTTCACAGCTCACCTCAAATCTCCTCCTTCAATCTCCTACCAACCCTTATATTTGACAACAAATAGTCTATTTGAAGAATGAAGCTTTCTTGGGCCTGATTGAGGCCCAAAGTGATGGAAGTAAACTGATTAGTGGGCCTTGCACACACTACAAATAGTCTATTTTTGGTTCATTCTAGCTTTGGACCACAACATTGAGGATTTGGTGTTATGGAGTTTGGGCAGAAAAGCCAACACATGTATTTAATGTTGTTGAAAATGATCTTTGGGCCTGAGGTGAATTTTGGGACGCACGATTCACTTATTCGTGCAATTCGCAGTTTGGTGCAGCGTAGTTGGAGCGTTCAGATTCTTCATGTACATAGAGAAGCAACTTCGCGGCTGATCATATGGCGTCCCTCGCTGCTTCAGCCCCTCTGGGAATGCACCGAATCTCGGTACCTCCCCCGGGTTAGATGTATGGCTTCACCACGACATTCGTGGGTGGCTCACTCTCGTGGAATTCTAGTTTAGTTTATTAGGCCTTAGCCTCCTTCTATGTACCAAAAAAAAAAAAAATGTTGTTGAAATTTCTATCCAAAATAATTTGCTCGTGAACTATTAGGGAAATTTCTCTTTGGTGGTGACAGTTCCGTTTGTTCTTCATTATTATTGTGCAGATGTCTTGTTTTCACACTGTAAATGGGCCCAAATATTTGTTTTGTGGTCCATTAGATCTTGAAAATTTGGGTCCCCAGAGTCATGTCTTCATATTGTATAAGACCTTCTCCAATCCCTTGATGAAAGTGAAATGTGCAAGTGACATTTTACCTATGCATTGAGGCCCATCAAAAGCCCTTTTTAATATATTATGTTGTTTTTATATATAAATATTATGATTGATGCAGGTATACGTACCATCTATCACATTCAAATTTGGAAAATGTGACATTGTCGAACTATCATCAATAATTTTACGCGGTTATGTGATTATGCACCAAAACTATGCATATATTGGTAGCAAAATACATTTTAGTTTTGGCAAATTATGTAGTCATTCCTAGTGGCACTTATTAATTTTACCTCCGACGAAAATATAAAATTTGATGTGAGACGAACTAACTGTTATACGGATCAACTCGTACTTGTACTATGAACCTGTTATATTTATACTTGTGATGTTCTTTTAAAGTATAATAATATTAAGTTCGAAAGTATGCATGTTTATGAACAAAATATAACTGTTTAATCGTTTGTCTAATCTTAATCTTAATGTCGAAAAAACTAAATATCTACTGGAAGTTACCTTTTGAAACTATTTTAACATGACATTATTATATGCTATGTTTCGTAGACAAATAAGTTAACTTACAAATTATTTGGTTAGCTTATAGGCCACGTGTATTCAAATAACTCTGTTCGGTAGGACGAATTCTACTAAAAAGCTCATACTTATTTGATAAGTTTTTTTTGGATAGTCTTTCAAATAAGCTCGTTCAAAATTTTTATTTCAGCTACCTTATCAGTTAATATCAAACGTTTTTATCATATAAGTTAGTGTTTCAACTATAAGCTCGAAAATTATCAACTAATTTTACCAAACTTAACAGTAAGTAAATTTGTGCACAGTCGAGTTGCTCGTCGAACCTACTAAACTCGCAATCGTGTCTTTGCTTGAACATTAATAATTTGACCGCTAGAGATCCCATCTCTTATTAAGACACTAGCCCACATAGGTATGGATATGTTGACTAAAAGTTCAATCATTACTCACACTCCCAATCTCCTCAATTTCTATCAGAAAGCTTCCATTCATCTCAACACGTCACTCTACCAACAATATAAAATAAGATCTAAATAAAAAAATAAAAAAATAAAAAAAAAGGAAAAAGAACTCATTATATACCACACTTTTTCACTTTCAAATTTTATCATATGACAAATAAAACTTCTCCTTCCCTCTAAAATTTCTAAAAATAAAAATAAAAATGAAACTCGAATTGGGATCAGTTTCCCTCCTAAAGCTCACAGTCGTAATCCTATCACTCGGCAAAATAATCTCCCAAAACGAGCAGCAGCCATACCAAACATGTCGCCGCACGTTCGAGTGT